GGGCGCTTTCTGCAGGCGAGCGTCGGCTTCGGCGGCAGCTGCTTCCAGAAGGACGTCCTCAATCTGGTCTACCTCAGCGAGTACCTGAAGCTGCCCGAGGTGGCCGACTACTGGCATCAGGTAGGAGAATTGGAGCTGAATTGCTTCAACTGTGAAGATATTGTGGGACAATTGTGCTAATGATTTCTTTGCTATTCTTCTTTTTAGATTATCCTGCTGAACGACTACCAGAAGCGGCGCTTCGCCCTGCGCATCACCGAGTGCCTCTTCAGCACCGTCACCGACAAGCGCATCGCCATCCTCGGCTTCGCCTTCAAGGCGAACACCGGCGACACGCGCGAGACGCCGGCCAAGTTCGTCTGCCAGCACCTGCTCGACGAGGGCGCCCGCCTCTCCATCTACGACCCCAAGGTGCCCCACCGACAGGTGATGCAGTAAGTGAAGGGAGAGAAGCAATTTTTTAAGTTTTTTAAAAACAAAAATCTTTGTGTTAACCTTTTTTTGCCCCTATCACCACCTATCAGGGACCTGGCCGCCTTCGCCGAGCTCTCCTCCACCAACTTCACCACTGAACAGCTGGGTGATCTGGTGGAGATTGTCGACTCGCCGTACACCGCCTCACAGGGCGCCCACGCGCTGGTCATCTGCACTGACTGGGATGAGTTCAAGGTAAAATCAGGGGGGTTTTTTAACTCAGCCAAATTTTTATTTTTTTTAATTTTTTATTTTGCAGGAACTAGACTACCAAAAGATGTACCAGCTGATGATGAAACCGGCCTTCCTCTTTGACGGTCGCAACATTGTCAATGTGAAGCAGGCGCAGACGATTGGCTTTCACGTGGAGAAGATCGGCCGACAGTCGTCGCACGGAAAGATTGGCGTGCCCTCTGCTGCCGCCGCGGCTAAAGTTACTGCCGCTGTTGCCAATGGAAATGCCAATGGGGTCATCAGTAGTTCCAGCAATGGCAGTTTGTGAAGAACAGTTAAGGACTGCGGAACAGCCGGTTAGACCTTTTTTTGACCGTTTTTAAATTCTGGGAATCTTTGGTATTAGTAGGGATGAGGTTTTTTTTATAATTGAAAAGTATTTTTACATTAACTGAGCGGACCAAAAAGTTTTAATATTGTGAAAATTAATTCTCACACTACATGCAACACATTCTGTCTTATTCTTTTTTGATAAATGTTTACAAAATAAAAAGTATTTGTTTACATCTTTTAAGTCAAGTCAAGTTTTTGAGTAATTATTCCCTTTTCTTTAATAATTAATAACAAGACAAAGTGAAAGTCAAGGCAAACAAATAAAGCTTAAATTACATGCAATTACGTGCTGCCATTTTTTCTCATTTGCACATCAGCGCAGGCATATCAATTAGCACGGCTGCATTATTACTAACTTATTTCTAGAATACCAACGCGCTAGATTTGTTTTAGGTATTTTCCCATATTCACAAATACTTGCGTGCTCAACGCGCCACTGTCTACACTGCCTTTGCATACACCAACTTAATTCACTTCTGCTTAGCAGTAATTGTTTGCTGGATAGCCTTATTTATATCATCTGTATAATAATAATACTGCTCAATTCCAGTTATGCCAGTAATTAGCTTTGCAAATTAATATTTTTTAACAGTTTGTCAGCAGTTGCTACATTGTAGTAAAACAAAATTGCGATAAAAAACCAGGAAAAAACTTGGGTAAAATTACTGTAAATGCGCACAAAAAACAAAACAAAAAATTGCGCAAATAAAAAACAAAATAGTAAAAAAGAGGTTGTGCAAGGTAAGTTAAACGTGGAAAACAGTATTATAAATTAATTGCTAATAGCAAACAGCAAAAAATTGTGAACTACTCACACAGTTAACCAGCAATCAAAATCACTTAATACTGCCTTTTGTTTGTTTTAAACAATTTACTTAAAACACTACTTTTTTGGGTTAATGGTAGTGTCCAGTCACACTGACAAGGTACCGTTCACTTTTTAGGTACCGGGTTTTCAAAGTTA